CCTGGGAGGCAGAGGTTGCCGTGAGCTGAGATCGTGCCACTGCTCTCCAGCCTGGGCAATAAGAGTGAAACTCCATCTCAAAAAAAAAGAAAGAAAAATGTATCTTTTTTTTATTTTAATTCAATCTGACAATCTGTCTTTGGATTGGATTATTTAAGCCATTCATATTTAATATTGATAATTAGGTTTGTTTCTTCCATTTTACTTTTTTGTTTGTTTGTTTGTTTGAGACGGAGTCTCGCTCTGTTGCCCAGGCTGGAGTGCAGTGGTGCGCGGTCTCAGCTCACTGCAGCTCCGCCTCCGAGGTTCACGCCATTCTCCTGCCTCAGCCTCCCGAGTAGCCGGGACTACAGGTGCCCACCACCATGCTTGGCAAATTTTTTGTATTTTTAGTAGAGACGGGGTTTCACCGTGTTAGCCAGGATGGTCTCAATCTCCTGATCTCGTGATCCGCCCGCCTTGGCCTCCCAAAGTGCTGGGATTATAGTCGTGAGCCACCGCGCCTGACCGCATTTTACCTTTTTGTTCCTCTTCAGTGGCTTTTCTTTCACATTTTTTTCCTAATATTTTAATTCCTTTCATGATGTATTCACTAACTTAACTCGAGTAAGATATGGAAATGTTACTCCCAAATGGCCTTGTTTCTTCTTCCTCTTTTTTGTGCTATTACCATTACACACATTGTGCTTTGTATACAGTGGGAGTGTGGTCTTCCTAGTGCTTCATCCTTTGTAGATAGAGTAGAAGCCTGTACGAATGCTTTTGATCATCTTTTCACTGAATTTGATAGCATAAACCTTTTCCCTTACTACTTGGATGGCTTCACATTGAGTCTCATTTCTCCTTCACTTTCACTCATCTCCTCCTGTATGAAGCAAGGTTTGTGGCCACTTTGCCTCTTGGTGCGCCATTGCTGAGGTTTCCTCACGCTTTGGATTTTCTTAGTGTCTGGCTTGATTGGAACCTAGCAGCCAGGTCTCCATCTGCGGAGCCAGAACCGCCGTGGTGGGTGTTTTGACCGTTGATAATGGAGGTACAGCCCTTGTCCTCTTGTGTGAGGAGCTGAGGTCTCATAGCAGAGCCTTTTTCTTTCTCTGGTTTTTCAGGGCAGCCGATGAAGTGCAACCTTCACATGAATGGGAACGTTATCACCTCAGACCAGCCCATCCTGCTGTGAGTTCCAAAGGCGGGGTGCTGGGGAGAGGGAACTCCGTCCATCTCTCTTTATTCTAATGGGTAAACTGCCTGCATCACAGCTCCCCTTCATCCCCCCATCCCGTTTCCTTTGTTCTAATGGCAGCTGGTTGTTTCAAATGCTTAACTCAACCAAAATAGTGTGCTTTGTCATTTCCCCAGGGGTTGACCCTACAGGGGCTAGCATTATGATCTCGTTCTCAGCCTTCTGATTAGAAATATCTGAGTGGAAGGTGGAGGGGAGGCTGCTTGGGTCTCCCAGCTGTGTGCATCATCATCATCCTAGGAACACAGAACTCCACCTCATGATTGGCTCTGATGGAGACAGAGCCAGATGCTACCCCTCTTTTTGTTCCCCAATTAGGTTTTTTTTTTTTTTTTACCCTTCTCTGCTCTCCACAGGCGGCTGAGTGACAGCCCATCGGTGAAAAAGGAGAGTGAGCTGCCTCGCAGGGTGAACTCTGCCTCCTCCTCCAACCCCCCTGCCGAAGTGGACCCTGACACCATCCTGAAGGCACTCTTCAAGTCCTCAGGGGCCTCTGTGACCACGCAGCCCACAGAATTCAAAATCAAGCTTTGAGCAGGGGAGTGAGGCAGCTGGAAGTGGGGGCAGAGGAGGGTGGCTCTGTTTCCCCAAGGCAAAGCTTATGACCAATGGGCCATCGGACTGGAGACCCCTGATTGTGGGAAGGGTCACCAGGGGTAAAGAGCTTCCTCACTGGATGGGACCTGCATTTCTGTGTTGTGTTCTGCCATGTGCTTTCTCTGTACGTTAACGTTTTCCTGTAGTATGTTTCTTCTCCATCTCATCACCAAGTTAGGCTTGTGTTTTTCAGTGTGCCTCCGCCAGCCTCAGCCCCAAGCTGATTTCTTATCTGGAAATGGTACACTGAATTCTCTGGGTGGCTTTCTTGTGGCCCCATGGGATGCAGGGCGGGGGCTGTCTGAAGGACCCTGCTTTTTCCAGGGGCCGACGGGCTGCCTGTCCTTTGTGTGTATTAAGCTTTTCAGACAACGGAGGGGATGGAAAACCCTGGTATCCTCATGGGAGCCAGGTCGGCCTGAGAGCTGTGCCGCTCCTCTGCCTGGTCATTGGAGGTGCCTGGGTGGGGAGCAGGTCTCAGGCCTCTTGTCCTCTCCCCAGTGGCTCCAGGCCTCACTAATGGCAAGGGCAGGATGAGGCTCACCGCTGGGAAGAGTGTCCAAGCTCTTGGCTTGGAGGCCCGTGCTGTCTCCGCCCAGAGGAAGTTCTCCAGAGTTCACCTTTCCCTTTTCCTTGAGTTGTGCTGAATGCCCTGCCCCAGCTCTCTTTCCCTTCTGGGTGTCTCTGCTAGGAGGGGGTTGTGTTGTGAGCCCTCCTGGTTCTCACCTCGCCTGGCACTCATCACACCCTGGTTTTGTGCAGCTGCCAGCTCTCCTCTGGTTGGGCCTTTCAAAGGTTCAACCTCCCATTCTGCAATGCTGTGGGTTTGGAGCTTATTTGAATGGAAGAGGTCGGTTTGCTCCTGGCTCTCCATTTCTGGCCTAAGTTGTCTACAGGACAGTGGTCAGGAGTGCCTGGAGGCATATATCCAGCTGCCACCAAGGGCCACTGTTTGTTCCCACTTACGTGAGTGACCCATCCATCCATGACCAGAGGGTTATTTTCCTGCCTTGGCAGAGGAGGAGTCAAGGGAGCAGGGCAGCTCTACCAGGCAAGCTGTTTCCCCAGTATAGGCACAGGCAGTTGGGACAAAACTATAGAGCCCAGGGGCAGTCCCTGAATGACCAGGCCAGTGTTGTCCCTGGTGTCACTGAGTGGTCCCCTGCTGGTTTGCTGGGAATGAAGGGAATCCAGGCTGGCAGAGCTGGAACCAGTTGGGGAGCACAGTTCTGGGAGCTCTGAAAAATCAGTAGCAAGTGCTGGGAAAGGCGCATGCCAGAGATACTCAAGAGTTCCCGAGACTTGCTTGAGGCTGACCCAGTGAAGAAAAACTCAGAGACTCATGTTTCCAGAGGTCAGTCTGTCAGGCAGGAAGGACCCAGGGTTTGAACTCAGCTTCAGTCTGCAGACTCTGAGGCTGTCCAGGCCGGGAAAGTCCAAGGAAGGGGCCTGGTGGTGCTCCACTTCCAGTTCTCTAAAGAATGCTGCTTTTTATTCTCTTAACCCCTTCAAGTGGGTGCAGACTTCTCGTTAGCAGCTGGAAGACATTCCTCCCACACTTTACCCTTCCTGGCCCAAGAGAGCGTCCAGAAGGCAGTAGGACCTGGCTTTTCAGGTACTGGGAACAGGGGACTCAGTGCTTGGACTCTGCTTAGGGTGGGGACGGTAAATATCCTGCCTGCATGGCTTTACCCTCCCTCTGATCCCAAAGCAGGGATCTTCTGGTTGTCACAGAGTTTGATTGAGTCCAGCTGCAGCCATGTGGCCATCTGGAGCTGGTGCTGTAGGTGACCATCTGGTACATTGAGGGGACCTGTTTGCCGCCTCCACTCTATAAGCAGTAATCTTGGGAGACCGGGAAGAGAAGGTGGTGGGCTAGTCCTGTGTCCTCCTTCACTTCCCATGCCCCTGTGTTACCCGTCTGTGTCTCCCGTGCAGAAGGAGAGGAAGAGGCATTAAGGGACGAAGGGTGATTATGTATTATCCATTTCTGAATAAACATTTGGTATTCCTACCTTTGAGTTATCTTTTTTTTTTTTGAGACAAAGTCTCACTTTATTGCCCAGATTGAAGTGCAGGGGCACTATCTTGGCTCACTGCAACCTCCGCAGCCAGACTCAAATAATCCTCCTACCTCAGCCTCCCAATTAGCTGGGACTACAGGCGTGCATCACCATGCCTGGCTAATTTTTGTAGAGATGGGGTTTCACCATGTTGCACAGGCTGGTCTTGAACTCCTGACCTCAGGTGGTCTGCCTTCCTCAGCCTCCCAAAGTTGGAATTACAGGCATGAGCCACCACACCCAGCCAAGGGTTTTGATCTTCAGGGATTTCAACATTTGGAGTGCAACTTAATTATTTAAAAAATAGGTTCTTGATATGATACCCAGGATGGTCTTTAACTCCTGGGCCCAAGTGATCCTCCTGCTTCGGCCTCTCAAAGTGTTGGGGTTACAGGCATGAGCCACTGCTCCCCTCCAGGGATGCAAATTATTTGATACTCCTTTCTTCAGAAGATGGGGTCCCATGCCCATCCTGAACCCAAGTGTGCTCTGTTACTACTTTGACCAGATGTGACTTTGCCATTTCTGGGCCTTCACTTTCAAAGACTGTCACTTCCCCATTTTCTGTGTGTGGAACATTCTCTGGGAGCCTTGACACACCACATTAAAAGTTGCCTGTTGGGGCCAGCACGTTCACTCACTTCTGTAATCCCAGCAGTTTGCAAGGCCGAGGCAGGCAGATCACATGAGGTCAGGAGTTTGAGACCAGCCTGACGAACATGGTAAAACCCCGTCTCTACCAAAAATTACAAAAATTAGAGGGGCGTGGTGGTGGGCACCTGTAATCCCAGCTACTGGGGGGCTGAGGCAGGAGAATCACTTGAATCCGGGAGGTGGAGGTTGCAGTGAGGTGAAATCACGCCACTGCACTCCAGCCTGGGCAACAGAGCGAGACTTTCAAAAGAAAAAAAAAAAGTTGACTATCTGCTGGGCATGGTGGCTTATGCCTGTAGTCCCAGCAGTTTGGGATGCTGGGGCAGGAAGATTACTTGAGCGTAAGGAGTTCGAGACCAGCTTGGGCAATAGGGCGAGGCCCTATCTCTACAAAAACAAAAACGAAAAATGACCTCAGCTACTCAGGAGGCTAAAGTGGGGGATCATTTGCACCCAGGAGACAGAGGTAGCAGTGAGCTGTGATCATGCCACTGTACTCCAGCCTGGGCAACAGAGACTGCAGGAAAACAAAAGTTGACTACTGAGTCTCATGTGGAACTGCCCACCTGACATCTCCCCTGAGAGGCCTAATGGGCGTCTCACCATGGCCCACAGAGAACTGATCCACTTGATTTTCCCCAAGCTGGCCCCTCTCCTGCAGTCTCCCCATCTCAGTCAATGGCAACACCATCCTCTTAGCTGCCCTGACTGAAAACCTAGCAGCCATCCTGGATTTCTCTCACAGTGCCTATTCACTGTGTGAATGCATGAGTGGAAAGCTGAGTTCGCACTCGTGACTGGCCGGGGTCAACGCTGACGTTCTCTCCCACTTGGCGCGCTGATTTGACTCAGCTGATGAAGGTTGGGCCCTGGCGGGCGGGGCCGGAGAGGCGGGCCTGGAGCCAGGGGGCGGGACAGACGCCACGGAAACGCGCTCGCGCCGGCGCCGAACCACAACTTCTGGCGACACCCGCGCTTCCGCGCGGCAAGATGGTGGCGCGCAGGAGGAAGCGGCCGGCGCGGGAACGGGACGACCGTATCCCGAGCCCACCGGGTTACGCAGGTGAGGGGCTCCGGGAGGCGAGACCGGGGGCGGTCAGGCATCGCCAGGAGGTGTTTGGGGGTTGGCGGCGGCCGAGGGTCCCCAGGAGCGGCCGCACGGTTAGGTGTGAGCCCCGGTGGCCCCTGGCCCCAGGCTCGGGAGGTCGTGAGGCTCCGAGGACGCAGGAGGCGCTCTTCTGTCTTCCCACTCTACCGGGGCGAACCTGTCTTGGTCCACGCTTCCCGTGGGTGAGCCCACCTCTGTCCACCCCTCACCCAGGGCAAACCCATTTCCGTCCACACTCGCTCATCCAGGTGAGCCCATCCCCTTTTCATCGTCTCTGCTCCTAGTCCAGCCCCCAGCAGCTCTTACCTGGGCTGCTATGGGCTCTCCTATTTGGTTGCCCTCCTTCTCATCTTGCCGCTGCTTCTGTTCTCCACCCATGTGGTAGAATGTTCTTTTTAAGTCCATTTAAAATTTAGATCATGTCTCACACGCCTATGATAGCCCCTACATGCACTGCATTCCCTCCAGTGGCTTTATCAGGTAGCTTCTAAAACAAAAAGCAGACTTCTTAACCTGTGTGGGCCACGTGGTCTGGCTGGTGCTGACCTAAAGCTCTTTCTGTTTCTCTGAGGCAAGGTGCTTTTTCCCCCCTGGGTTTTTGCACGTGCTGTGCCAATTTGTTGCTTATTGGCGTTTCTGGTCTGAGCTTTAATGTTGCTTCCTCAAAGAGGCCATCCCTGATAGCCTATGGAAAGAAGACCTCTGCCACCCCATGACCCTGTAATGTTTCTTTCGTAATTGATACAAGCTTGCTGTATGCTTACTTGGTAATTGTCTTCTCCGTTATTGCAACTGAGCTTCCTGAGTTCAGGGACCGCAGCTCTATGCCAACCGGTAGTCTGACGGAGGTGTGAGAAAAATAGAAGCAGTTCCTAGCTTTATGAGATTACAGTCATGGGTGTGCCAGCGATTAACCAAAAAATCTCATCAGTATAGCCTACAGACTGTTAAGAGAAGCTATGAAGGCACAGGCAGTGGGATCTGACCTGGCAGGAGGGGCTGGGGGTGACGCTGAGGCTCCCCTGAGGAAGCGAGGTTTGAGCTAAACCTGAAGGTTAGCGGGAAGGAAGAGGGTGACGCGCCAGGTAAGAGAGGCCAGTGTGTGTGAGGCCCTGGTGTACCCAGGGGAACAGGGAGAATCCAAGGTGGTGGGGGAAGATGGTACGAGAAGAGGCCACAGTGGCAGGCAGGGTCTCTCGGAGCTTCCAGCCACGGTTAGGATTTTGGTGTTCACTCCAAGAGCCGCAGGGTTCGAGCTTCCCTTTCATTGCACCCCCATCTGTAATCATTGCCCATTTATCTTCTCTTTCCCTGCACCACCTTGGGAGGCCCTCCTGGGCAGACTCTTAGAGCCCGCACAGGCTTTGCCAAAGGGTAGGGTCGGGGGGTTGGTGAAGGGATGGATGGATTGATGAGCAGATAGGACTAGACAGGGATGTGGAGAAAGGAAGTTGTGTGAATGTCTTGCTGGACTCAGCTCAGGGTAGCCTGGCCATCCCTCCCCTCCCATTTCCTTTCCAGCTATTCCAATCAAGTTCTCCGAAAAGCAGCAGGCTTCTCACTACCTCTATGTGAGAGCACTTGGCATTTGACAAGGCACCAAGTCCACCTGGCCTCAGAAGAGGACTCTTTTTGTCCTCAGTGTGCCCCCATACTGCACAGAAGTGAGCTAGTGTCTGGGAGGGGACCTGTGGGCTCTAGGTGGGGGCTCCCTTGGCCTCCACCAAGTCCTTGGTGGTGAGACGGACACAGCTAATGGGAGCCCCAGAGGAGAGTGTCCAGAGGGCTACCTTGATCTCCAGTCAGGAAACGAGTTTTTCAAAGATGTCTTTAAAAGTATAATCCTGCCAGGCATGGTGGCTCATGCCTGTAATCCCAGCACTTTGGGAGGCTGAAGGGGGCAGATCACCCGAAGTCAGGAGTTCAAGACCAGCCTGGCCAGCATGATGAAACCCCGTCTCTACTAAAAAACACAAAAAATTAGCCAGGCGTGATGGCGTGCGCCAGTAGTCCTGACTACTCAGGAAGCTGAAGCATGAGAATCCCTTGAATCTGGGAGGCGGAGGTTGCAGTGAGCCGAGATTGCGCGTCTACACTCCAGTCTGGGTGACAGAGTGAGACTCCATCTCAAAAGAACCCAAAAAACCCCCAAAATTAGCTGGATATGGTGGCACACGCCTGTAATCCCAACTACTTGGGGGACTGAGGCACAAGAACTGCTTGAACCTGAGAGGCGGAGGTTGCAGTGATCCAAGGTCCGCCACTGCACTCCAGCCTGGCAACAGTGTGAGACTCTGTCTCAAAAAAAAGAAAAAGTATAATCCTAAGTAGCCCAAGGCTTTTTTATGTATTACCCGAAGTTGTTTGAATTGCGTGTTTTCTTTGAGATTATACGCGTCCATAGTTTAAAAGTAGGAAAGTATAAGGAAATAAAAAGTGCCTCTCGTTCTATCCAAACACAACTGTTAATTTTTTTTTTTTTTTACAAAAACTAAACTAAGGGAATTGCTCCCTCTGTTGCTCACGCTGGAGCGCTGCGATCTCAGCTCACTGCGACCTCGCTTCCTGGGTTCAAGAGATTCTCCTGCCATAGCCTCCCAAGCAGCTGGAATTACAGGCGCCCACCACCATGCCCGGCTAATTTTTGTATTTTTAGTATAGACAAGGTTTCACCATGTTGGCCAGGCTGGTCTTGAACTCCTGACCTGAAGTAATCCGCCCCCCCCTCAGCCTCCCAAAGTGCTGGGATTACATGCGTGAGTCACCACCCCTGGTCAAGAGAATTGTTGGATTTGTTTTCAGAAAAGAAACTCTAATTTGTAAAAGAATCCTCTAAACTTAGGGAAAAAAGAAGCGTGTAGAAGAGCGGGTGTGAGTTCTGACCTTTTTTGAAGTGCAGCATGTGTACAGGGAAGGGCCCCAGTGGCAGGTGTCCAGCTCGCTGCATCCCAGAGACAGAACATACCTGTGTAGTCAGCACCCAGGTGGAGACACAGCAGCACATCCCAGAACCCCCACTGATAACCTTCATCCTGACTGTCACAGCATAGGGTCACCACTGCTGATTCAGACAGACAACCTGCATCCTGACTGTCACGGTATAGTGTCACCACTGCTGATTCAGACAGACAACCTCCGTCCTGACTGTCACAGTATAGGGTCACCACTGCTGATTCAGGTAGTAAAACTTGTCATATATATAAAATCAGAATAATAGCAAGAATGTCCCTACCTGTCTCCAGTGAGAGAGAGCGGGAATATGCCGGGCACGCTGGCTCATGCCTGTAATCCCAGCATTTTGGGAGGCCGAAACGGGCGGATCACCTGAGGTCAGAAGTTCAAGACCAGCCTGGCCAATGTGGCAAAACCCCGTCTCTACTCAAAATACAAAAATTAGCCGGGTGTGGTGGTGGGCGCCTGTAATCCCAGCTACTCGGGGTACTGAGGCACGAGAATCACTTGAAACCCAGAGGTGGAGGTTGCCGTGAGCTGAGATCACGCTATAGGACTCCAGCCTGGGCTACAGAGCAGTACACCAACTCAAAAAAAATAAAAAATAAAAAAGAGAAAGAGCAGGAATATTGACCTCCATATTATCCCTGCAGAACAGGTCGGAGGCTGTGGTGCCCACAGGCTCCTGGCTTGGGCAGATGTGGCTGTGGCTCTGAGTCCTTCAGGGGCGCTGGACCCCTGGCAGTGCCACCCATGGTGGAGGGAGGCTTTCGGATGCCCCTGCAGATGCTCACACTTGACTTCCCTCTCCCTGCGGCAGGAGAGCCTGTCCCGCCTCCTGTCCTCCTGTGGCCTCGTCCAGTCTGTAGAGTTGCAGGAGAAGCCGGACCTGGCCGAGAGCCCAAAGGAGTCAAGGTCGAAGTTTTTTCATCCCAAGCCGGTTCCGGTGAGCCGCCAAGCACGGGGTTCCACTAGAGTGAGGGGGGTGGGGCATTGTCCCCAGTGCGTTGGGGGAGCTGGCAGTGGGACGTCAGAGCATTCTCTGGTCCTGAGCCCATCCTCACCGTGTGTGGTGTAGGAGGCTGTCCAGGTGACAAAGCCTGCAATTCTTTCCCAGATTTGCCACATCCTTGCACTTCTTGCCTGGCTTTTTCCATCCTGTGTTAATGCTCAGGGACCGTCTCTGCTGGGCGCTTGCGGGGCCTCCCCCGGCTGCCCTCCTGCTTCCCCCGCTGAGGGAGCGCCTTCCCCAGGCTTAGGGGCCGGGTCTGCAGGAGCACTGTTCTTCACAGCTTTCCCAGTGGCCCTGGAGCCCACACCTCCTCCCCACACAGTGGCATTTGGCATGGTGTGTGCCCAGGCCTGGCTTCCAAAAACCTGCCCTGGTCCAGGGCGACCCCTGCGTGTCACAGCATCCCTCCTGTGACTGGAAGAAAGGCAGCCTGTGCGTCCCCTCTTCCTGAGGAAGAGCTGGGAACAGCTGTCACTTC